CTTGTTTGCTTATATTTTTGACAAAAGCGGGTTTAGAATATTATTATTTGCGGCCATCCATTCGGAAGCAAGTCTTTTGATAAGAAAGAACTAAAATAATGTTAAAGGGACACCTAATTAGGTCTCTTTAGAGCCAAATGAGTGGAAGATATATAAAACTTTTACAAACAGGTATTTTAATTACCCCAGCGTTTTCATGCCGGGAATAAACCCATTAATTTTAGATAGGGGCTGGGTTGTTTAATCTGGTTCATGTTTATAGGGAGGTCAATTTTACAGCCGCTGATCTGGTTTCACTGGCGGCAATGAATCCGGAAGGATTATACAGACTAGATTCGCCACCATTAAGAATTTTACATTTTTTTGACAAATGATATAATAGGGGTGACATACCTTTGCAATGTTGTATTGTTGTAATCTCATGATTATGCAAAGCAATCCTTCGTTTAACGAGAAAAAAAAAAACCCATTCATTATCTTCACTAATCACTACTGAAATCTTTCTTTTCCCTTCGTTTTCATCAGCCCCTAATTCTCCAATAATTCTCTTCTTCACGAATTTGGGACTTCAAAGGCCGGATCCTGAAACAAGGATCCTTTTAAACTAGTCCATTTTCTTCAGGCCTCCAAATCTCATAAGCCCAACAATACTAGAAATTGAATTGAAATAGCCATTGGCATTTGGACTAAATTGCACCCAACTGGAAATTGAATTGAAAGAGCCATCAGACTATACTCCCAAAACCAAAAAAAAAAGAAGAGATTAGACTATGATGTAGAATATGCTTTACTTTTGTAAGTTTTAAAAAAGAAAAACACACAAATGAATAAGCAGAATTAGATTTGTATAAATATGTGAAAAGATCATTTCTTCCATGAAAATACATTAGATGCCTCGTCTACTCGAGAAAACCCTCTATTTTAATCACTAAACTATATCCAATCTTTGTTCCTTATATCCAAACAAACTTAAGAGAAACTATATAGTGTGGTTATATCAATATCCAAAGTCCAAACCATATCATAACCAACATTCACGGGTCAACATAATATTTGAATTATTTACTAAAGTATTCAGCGGACTCATTATTATTGAGTTTCTCAAAATTGAGCTTTCTTCCTTCATGTATGATGTATCCTTGAATTTGTTGAATTCAACAAAGAGATTAGGTGAACTTTTAAGTTGAGAAGAAAGAAGCCAAAAGTGGGCATTACGTTTGAAACTTCTATCAACCCATTCTTAAAGGCAGCTGAATTGTCAATGCCGACAAAAGGCTCATAATTTTTTTCAAGTGAAAAGATTAAAAGACAGTGATGTCGACATAAAACTTGGGAATTCCTCTCAATATTTTGCCCTTTATGAACAAATCAAGGCTCTTCTTAACCTTTTTTTTTACCCCCGATAAAGATTAAAAGCCTAAAAATGCATGGTCAAGTACATTGGTAGGGGAAAAAGTTCAGAAAATGGATCAGATGTCGGCTGTTACACCGAAAAGAATCCTTTATCCAAAGAATTTCGAAGATTTAACTTTATTACATTTATTATTTACTTGTAGAAAAGTAATAATCCCACAAGGAGACAAGTCCTCGACAAAGACAGGATGAGACGAGAAAGATCTTACCACCAACAAAAAGAAAAGAAAAGAAAAGAAAAACATTAACTAGTTATCCTAAGAAAAGAAAACAATGAGAGAAACAAAGAAATGTGCATTCAGAGAAAGAAGGGAGAAAAAAAACTGAAGGAACACTTTAAAAACTCCAATATAATTGATATCTTATTACAGTGTGTTTGAATTTACCCCCTTTTTTTCGTTGAAACTCAAAGTCATATAATATCATATACTTTCTAATTTTTTTTGGTAATTTTTGTGAAAAAATTACAATCTTACCTTCTTTGTGGATGGTTGTACAATCGGTACAGTAACGGTATAAAAAATTTCCTTTACAACCTAGACATTTTTGCTCTAGTGCACCGAAATATAACTAGGGGCGATATCAAAAAATTATGACTCATCTATGCCTAATACTTCTTTAACAAGTACATCAACACATAGATTAAAATCTTTAAGGGGGTATGAGTTTACTTAGCTCAAGTGAGATTTTCACTATTATCAAAAGAGGGAAAAAAAAAAAACTGCCAAATAATGAAGAATAATCACTTGAAGGAGGAACCGAGATGAGATTAATAAATTTGTAATTTATGTTTATGGCATTTAATTAATCAGTTAGACAATCTACTTTCATGACAAATTAAGTTGTGTACCCAACATTTTGAGTTAAAATCATGTTTATTACTCTTTCGGTTCCGAACAAAATAACCAACATTATTACGTTGTTTTAGTTTAATAAAGTAAATTACTTTTTCTAGGACGGATTACTTATTTACTAAGCATCCAACCTTTTCGCCGCTCTCCCCTTTATTGATTACTGCTCTCGCGGCAAAGAAGATGCATTTCTAGGGAAAATGTCTTGCATTGATCTTTCGATTGAAAATATTACTATTATTTTTATTTCAGGTAAAGAAAGCCTTCCATTACAATCAACCCAAATAAATACGACCTTTTGAGATTTACAGTTTATGCCGGAAATGGTCTAAAGAAACGAGTCCACCATATTAAATAGAAATTGGAGTAACAAAATCAAGGTATTTTACTATAAATGTGATATATGACTGATAAATGAAGCGAAAGAATTCAGCTTACAAGAATTTTATGAGAGAACAAAAGTTTTGAGATTTACATTGCGAAAGAATTCATAAGTGTTTGTTAGGACAATTAATTTTTTTTAAATATAAGAAATGCATAATTTTAATCTCGTTTGTCACGCTGCTGAAGTTGAGTAACTCTTCTACTCAATTAAACACTTGAGAGTGATTTTTCCCCTAAAATAAAATGTTTACTGTCTCATTTCAAATTTCCATCATTCTCCTAGCACTATCCTTTTTGTAAAAAACCCATAAAAGAAAAATATTTGCATATATATATATATATATATATATATATATATATAAAACTTGCCTGCATGTATACATATCATGATATCAAGAAAAGAACAGGTACCGTTTCAAAAAAACAATATCAAGAAAAGGGGATTCACTACCTTTCAATAAACAAAAGTACCTAATCCACTCAAACATCCTCAAACTCGCACAAATTATAATTAAAAGAAAACGATGCTTGTTACAAAATCTTTTTACGTGGACTAATACATGGCTGCCTTCGAAGTTGTTCAAATCAACACACTTACGTTGCATGCATTTGAACAACAAATGAGATTTAAGTTAGTTTAATTACATTTCATAAATTGATGAGGGCCTCGTGATTAAACTAATGTTGTATTTGTAGGGGCCGCATGTGGACGAACTGATCATCTGCCGACTATGCATATGTTTGTTTGATTAGTTTGATCGTATGTGTTTTGTGCGCGTACATATCCTGAAATAGATTATTTTGGCCACTCTTGATGACTAATCAGAATTGTTCTAAAATTTACTTAAGCATAATTTACCTTCTCTTAGGGATCTATTTGGGGTTATTTGATTATCTCTTTAGCTAGTTCTTTGCTAATTTTTCCCGGATTACATGTTCTCCTTAGTGCCTCTCTTGTGTACCAAAAAATAAAAAATAAAAAAAAAAAAAGTGGGGGAAAGAAAGATGACGATTAAGGCAGATTTAAAACAAATGCAGTTAATTGACTTGTCTTCTTGTCCCATATGTCATGTCGACTTGTGGCACTTGTCCATGCTAGAATGTGACACTTTGACTTGAAGTAGGATGATTAATTTTGTCATTCTAACACCATCCGGAGAGCGTATATGAGGATTTTTATTTAATTCATTCACATTACACATACGTCAACTAAATTCTTACAAATTATTCTATATTTCATTCTCTTAGCAAAACTGTACATGGCGTAATGGATATCTCATCCATCAAATAGGATTATTTTTTTCTAACAAAAATCCATTTTCTTAATTTTGCAATACCTTACCGATGCGCTTAATTAAGTGTTTGGTGCGAGCTAACAACGATCAATTATTAAATGGAGTCTACATCTATCTGTAATATAAAAATGTCAAAAATTCTTCATGATCGCAGTCTTCCAAATTCTCACACGCATGTTTGTTTCTAGTTTTTATTTGATTTTGTGTGTTTGTTTGTTTGTTTTCTTTTTTCTTATTCCAAAACATTGCAAAACATAATGAAAAGTATATTGTTATAGGTAACTCTTAGGAAGTTAAATGTGAAATCGGAGATAGATCATGCGTATTTTTTTATCAATAACTTTTTCTAAGATGTCTATGAACAAATGAAAAACTGAAGGGTACAAATTGAGGCTCTACTATGGGGGTACAATCCCAGTTGAAGCATGATGAAATAGGTGTTGTTTATTCTCGAAATATACTGAGTTCAAATTAGGTATAATGTCTATTTTTTTTTAAAAAAAGTTGAGCAAATATTGACTGAACAAGTGCATATCTTCACTTTATCATGGATATTATTATGCCCTAGTATTAAATTGACAATGTCTAAGTTATCCTGCCTTCAATTTGGCTTGAGTTAATGAGAGTTTATGAAAGGGAAAAGTTGTATTATTTTGGCTAAGATGTTACACACAATAAATATCATTCAATTGTATCTATCTGCATTAAACATTGATAGGTTTTAATATTCTTTTAGTAGAACTTACTACTTTGTACTGATACTGTTAGAGTCGAAATAAATAATTGAGCTATACTAAATTAATAAATTAATAACTGTATCTTGAGAAACGAGAATGATCCATTTTAATAAAAATACTAGTGTTTAACCAATGTTAAACTTAAGAATAAGATTAAGCACGGTAATAAGGACATCGGGTAAGTAATAACTAAACCGCCTCTGGAAGCGCGTAGCCTACGCGCAAGAAGACGTGGCGATCACCGGGAGACCCACTTCACTCACTCAAAGCCCCGTAACCCGGAGGGCCCAATTCTTACAAAATTACGTACAAAAAAAAACCAGTCGTTTTCTTTCGTGTTTTTTGTTCATCCCCCACTGCAAAATTTTTATCGTTTTTTCTTTATTGATTTTAGTTTCCAAATAAGCCACCACCCTGTTTCCTCAATGGCTTCCCACTTTCCGTTTCTGTTAACTGTATCTCTCCCTATATCTATATGTACATGATCACTACGTCTAAGTAACCGCACCATCCTTTCTTACCAGTCAAGAATTGTTTTTTTCTTTTTCCAAATAGATCCATTTTGATAGACTTAGACTCAGTCCAGTTCAATCCCAATCGCATCAGATTCCCTGTTTTTTTTCTTGTTTACTAGTGAATTAAAACGCACCAGCGGAGTTATGGGATTCAGTTTTTGCTGTTTCCTAATGGGGTGATTTCGGTTTATATTGTAACGTTTGTCAAAGGGCTTGTGTTGTTTTTTAGTCCTCTGTAGGTTGAAGGTTGAAGAAGATGGGAAGCGTATTGGAGGCATCGATATTACATCATGTGGCCATTGTGTTTATTGTGCTGTGGTTGCTTAATTCTTTCAATTACTGCAACCCAGTTGCCTATGTTCTCTCTTTCACGTACCTTTTTCTTGTAAGTGTACCTTACGCTCGTCTAATTTTATTCTATTTTTTTGGTTTGGGTGTATTGGTGCTGGTTTTAGTTCTGAGTTTTTCCGTTTTTTGCATTATTTAAGGTTCACGAGAGGTATGTGATCAAATTGAGGAAGAATTTGCAGTTTGAGGAGCAAAGGAACTCCAATCAAAGGAGGGTAAGAATTGGGAGCGCATGATTGTAACTATGTTTGTGTTGGTGTTCCTTAATGAAAAGTGTGAAACTCTTAATGATCTCCTTTTAACTGATTTGAAAAGAAGGAATTAGTTTAAAGTGTGGTAAATTTGCTGTTTGGTTACACTTTTTCGCTTCACAATGGAAAAGTAAAAGCCTTTACCCTCAATTTGGTTTGGGGGTAGTTTGAACTTGCTTAAAGTAAATGCTTAAGAAACAAGGGACTGTTGGGGTTTCCTCTGACTAATGATGCTGCATATGGATGCTCAATTTGGCTTTTTTCAGATTCTTACTGATTCGGAATCAGTGCGTTGGTTGAATTATGCTGTTGAAAAGATGTGGCCTGTTTGTATGGAGCAGATTGTTTCACAGAAAATTCTACTCCCTATTGTGCCTTGGTTCTTGCAGAAATATAAACCCTGGACAGTGGTATGCAATTGAACACCTCAGATTTTGAATGATATCTATTCTAGTATTCTTGCACTACAGTTTGATGATATGTTGATGCAGAGTTTTCTAATCTGTTGTTTGGTAGTTAACTGGCTTAATAATGCATTTAAAGTTGGATAGTTCTATCCTGAATTTATTATCTTAATTAATTTAAAAATGTCCAGAAAGAAGCCTTGGTTCAGCATTTGTATCTGGGAAGAAGTCCACCCATGTTTACAGAAATGAGGGTTCTCCGCCAATCTAATAATGATGATCACTTGGTATGCCATTTGTAATATTGTCTCTTTAGCAGTTGTTCCTCCAATTATATTATCATTCTTGTTAATTTTGTTGTAAATTTATGAAATGTAGGTATTGGAGTTGGGAATGAACTTTCGAACTGCTGATGACATGAGTGCAATACTTGCAGTTAAGCTAAAGAAAAGGTTAGGTTTGGGAATGTGGGCAAAACTGCACCTGTTAGGCATGCATATTGAAGGAAAGGTAGGTTACCGGCTTTCAAGTGTGCCGCTTGTAGTGGCAGTCTCTCATCTCCAGTTTGTCATGCCATTTTATTAATTGATATAGCCAGCTGGAAAAAAAAATATTACCAATAAGAATTCTGTTCTTTTCCAATTTAGAAGTTTTAATTTTTGAATGCTGTTATAGAAAGAATTGCTTTCACATCCACCATCTCGAGATTGCTGAAAAGAGGAGTTATTATTCTATTTGAATCCCTTGAAAAGAAGTTTTGTTGATGATTTACACCTTTCTTTTCCCTTAGGCCTTGATTGGGGTGAAATTTGTGCGAAACTGGCCTTTTCTTGGTCGTGTTAGGCTATGCTTCTCGGAGCCTCCATATTTTCAGATGACAGTGAAGCCGATATTTACTCACGGTCTTGATGTTACTGAACTTCCAGGAATCGCTGGATGGATAGTAAGTATAGGTTATTTTGTATGTCCGTATGTTTGTCTTTGTACTCATATATCTAATGTTATTCACTTTCTACTTTTTGTCAGGATAAACTACTGTCTATTGCCTTTGAGCAGACTCTTGTTGAGGTAAAAGCCTTGAGCTTAGGAGATCTTGCTCTTCTCCTCGTTAACAATATCATTCTGTTACGCTTCAATTTATCATTGTTCATTTGCAACTGTTCTACGTCATAAAATCTTTGACTTTCTGGGAATTGAATTGTCGATGCAACTAATAGACTGAAATTTTGTCACATTTTGGCAGCCAAACATGTTGGTAGTTGATGTTGAGAAGTTTGCCTCACCACAATCAGGTATTTATAACCCTCTTTTACATTTTGCTGCTGCTTTGGTTGATGCTTTAGGTAAGCTTGTAACTTTTCCCAGCGCATCTAGAGAAGCTCACATTGTGCATAAATGTGGGTCACTGTGAAATAAATCAGAAGGTTTTGATTCCCATCTGTGCTATTGGATGAAGTAGTTGTGATTTTACATATATTGGACGGATAAGTTGGGAGTCTCTTAGACTCAAAGGGTGTTGGATTTTGTAGAACTGTCATGTCGTGGACCTTGATGCATAGAAGTGGCATTACTTTGTTTAATGTGTATTATTGTAATAATTTTGGATGCTTACAGAAGCATGGTTCTCTATCGATGAGAAGGAGCCTGTAGCTCACGCAATTGTGGAAGTGATTGAAGGAGCTGAAATGAATCCTTCTGATTTGAATGGTTAGCTATCTATACGTTTTGTGAATAAATCAGCAACCATCAGGAATACATATCTAATTAAAAAATGTTTCTCAGGGTTGGCTGATCCTTATGTCAAGGGCCAGGTTGGTGCATACAGATTCAGGACTAAAACACAGAAAAGGACTCTAGCCCCAAAATGGCAGGAGGAATTTAAAATTCCCATCTGCACTTGGGAGTCACCAAATGTTCTTACAATTGAAGTCCGTGATAAAGATCATTTTGTCGACGATAAGATGGGGTGCGCTCTTTTTTTTTTTACTTTGGTTTTGGAGTAGCATATCAGAATTCTTGCTGAATTACACCCCCACCCCCCTTCAACCCCTTTCTGGTTCGTTATCAAACTTTTCAAAGAGATAATCGCTGATCTTTTTGAGAATGGCTTTCATTCCTTGAGTTCTTGTCTGAATTCTTATTTGCCCAGTCATTAATTTTCTTCCTATTGATTCACTAGTAAAAGTTGACTATTGCATTCAGGGAATGTTCTGTAAACCTGAATGAGTTTAGGGATGGCCAGCGGCATGACATGTGGCTGACTCTTCAAAATATTAAACTAGGGAGGCTGCATCTTGCAATTACTGTGATTGAGGGCAGTGGAAAGGTAACTGTTCATCTCAGTGCTTCTTTAGGAATTATATGCACTGTTGCATGAGACTTCTAGATCTCTACTTGATGATATCTAAAGGAGTTGTGCTAGACAATTTTTTTTTTTTTTTTTTTTAAAAAAACCTAAATATTGAGAACTCCAGGATGAATAGTTGCAGTGTAAGAGACTCTTATTTTTGCCGGGAAAATTACCCTATTAAGATAATAGGACTGGGCCTAGTCCTAAAGCATTTGGGTGCAAGATATGGTTTATTTTGATGCTAAGGTGCTCGAATGTATTGCATGTGCAGGTTACTGAAGGATCGTTTGAAGTAGAAAATATGAATGATTACAAGAAAGTTTCTTTTGCTACAGAAACTAATAACAAAGATTCTTTCTCGTCTGTTACATCCGAGTTGTCTCCCAAGGTGGCAGATGTATTTGAGCCCATCAATGTGGAGGGGCAGAAAGAAACCGGGGTATGGGTTCATCATCCAGGTAGTGAAGTTGCTCAAATATGGGAACCAAAGAAGGGAAAGAGTAGGCGCATTGACACTGAAATTCAAGCTGAGGGTGTAGGCTCCGGTGGTAGCTTTAAATCAACGCCATCTGGTAAGCATGACAGCAGCAGTGCAGAAGAAAATGGTGATGCTGAAAAATTAGTGTCACCTAATCGTGTGCATAAGGGCTTCCAAAAGCTTGGTTCTTTGTTCCATCGGAGACAGAAAAATGGTGAGAAGTCAGTGAGCTTTGATGATTCACTTCCATCTCCACATATAAATCTTAAACCCATTAATTCAAGAGAAATTGGTGTTAAGTTTATCGTAGATGATACTGTAACTGCTGCATCCTTGGAAAAGAACCCAAAGGTAGATGGAAAAGAAGGTTCTGAAACTGGGTCTGAAAGTCCAACCAGAGGGAAAGTCAAAGACATGGCAAAAAACATTTTGAAGCAATCTGCTCGTGGCATAAAGCATGCACTCTCCAGGAAAGGATCGAATAGATATTCTACATCAGTGTCACAAGATGCAGGGCGGGATGTCTCTGTTGATTCTGATTCATCCATGGAGGAATCTCTTGCATCAGTGCCTGTTGAACCTGCCTCAGTGCCTGTTACACCAACATCAGTGCCTGTTGATCCAATTTCGGTGTCATTTAGCTCCATCGCAGACAGTGGTAAAAGAATTTCTAATGCCAGTGAGAACAGCATCCCATCTTCAAATGATGCTTCAATAGAGATTGAAAAACCAGAAAATGTGGTGATCCCGGAACCTGAAGTTAGTAATCTCAAGTCTGCCCATTCTGAGAGAAGCAAAGCTGTTGAAAAGCCTAGTGAAAAACCCGCTGATGCAGATGTGAAGGTAGAACAGTAGGTTAACTTTTTGCCCTTTCAAGGAGTAGTTGAGCCTGGTTGGTTGTTGGAGTTGGCTTGTAGAGTAATACCATACCCAAAACACACAAAGCGTGTTTTCTGTAAAGTTTTTACTGTACATGAATGTTAGAGAGGGTTATAGTGTGTCTTTATTCTTGTTTTTTTGAAGCAAGAAGAGGATGTAGCTACAGACAGGCTGTGCATATCTTAACATTACTGTTATCAAATACATGTTCACTTTCCAAAACCCCTCTGGTCTCTTTCTGCTACAAAAAATCTCTTGGTTGCATTTTTTGGGAAAGATTTAAAGTTACATTATAAATGCTAGTCTTCCAAACTAAACTGTAAGATGAAACAATCTGGTGTAGTACAACTTCAAAAATCTCCTTGAAGACTGAATACGCTAGCAGCTTCTCATGATCTCTTCATAAGAGAAAGGGTGACAATTATCTTTACCAGAAAACAGGCATCGGAGAATGCTCTTCCACATTCCCATTTTGGGTACAAAGCCATGCCTCACCATTTGTTTCAATGCCCAATCCACTTCTCCTACAAGATTCTCACGACAAAAGCCTTGGATTAACAACTTGTAGGACTCGAAACTTGGAGGTATGTTCTTGCTCATCATTCTATGCATGAATTCTTTGGCCTCGGCAAATTTCTTGTCATCGAGAAAACAATACAAAACCTCCTGATAAGTCCCTGGGTTCGGATCACAGCCTTTAAGCATCATACTGTCGAAAAGCTTGATCCCCTCATCAACTCTTCTCTTTTTCCTTAGCCCTGATATCAATATGTTAAAAGTAACAGCATCTGGATCAACTCCACCCCTTTCCATCCTATCTAACAATGCAAGTGCGTCATCAACACGGGCATGCTCACACAAACCATGCATTAAAGTAGAATAAGTCCTCACTCCAGGTCTAAGATTCTGCTTAGAGAACTCATCAAGCACAGAAAATGCAGCATCTAATTTCCCACATTGACAAAGACCTTTAATGATGATATTCAAGCTGCAAGCGTCAGCTTCAACACCCAATTTAGAAGCACCCATATAAACTTCATGAACTACCTCAAACTGCTTAGTGTTAACCAGCAAATTAAGCACGAAGTTGAAGGACTTCACAGAAGGCCAACACTTGAAATCAGGCATATCAAAAAGGGTCTTGATAGCACTATCTATTCTCCCCCCTACATTCCCATAAACCTTCATCACAGTGAGGAAAAATTCCTCAGAAAGCCTGCATTTCCTTTCAAGCTTGATTCTTTCCATAAGGGCTTCAATGGCATCAAAGTTCTTCGCAAGGGCAAGCTTTTTGATAACGATGGTGTAGACGGCTTCATTGGGATTGTAATCTTTTCGTTGAGAAATTTGGTCGAACACAGGAAGAGCAAAGTTGGGATCTTTGAGGGACTCGAAAATTTTGACAACTTCATTAGGGCTTAACCAGTCTCTGTAGTTAGCCAAGTTCGGAATACCAGATTCTCGATATGGCGAAAAAGACGAAGATGAAAAATTGGATCGGTGCGAAACTGATTGACAAAGCAGACACAATTGAAAGATGGGTCGGTCGAATTTGGTATTTTGGGGAAGAAGAAATGTCCTAATAATCATAGCTGACCTCTGCAATTTCAATCGGTCGGGGAATATTTAAAGCTCCTGCGAAATGTTTAAATTCCGAGCGCCTATAGCCCACCTCTTTTTGTCAATTATCCCCTCATTTCCAAAATGACATTACATAATAATTTTACGACCGAAAAACTGAATCATAATTTTGAGACAGAGTGAATAAATTATGTTTCCGGTTGTAATATTAATTTTTGTAATCACTATTTTCAGCTCTGAGTCTTATTTTTATTAAAATTTTCCTAATTCTTCTTATTCTGTAATTTTCTTAGTTTCTTACTCCTCCATCTAATAATTAGCAAGGTCTTGTTTGTTTAGTTAAACCGGTAACCAAAATAATTTCTTTTGGACCGGAGGGTGTATTAAATTGAAAGTTGGCTGCAAAGAATGGACAAAAAAATAAATATTTTAATAAAAAATTGGACAGCTAAAAATATTATTCATTAACTGACGTTGACATGGTGAACTCGCTCTTTATATTATTTAAATTACTCTATATGTCTTGAATGATACTAATTCTTATCAAAAGTATTACTGATTTTGTCCACGTATATAAAGTAATCCACGTGTACACTTGTGCAGGAACGACACTACTAATTACCAAACACAAAATTTTATTTCTTTAACTCATGCAGTAAAATAATTAAAAAAAAAAGGTTTTCATGACAAAAGAATATTTTTCGTGATTTACACCGTGTAGTTGAATGGATCAAAAGTGTATCTACTATCATTTTTATCACCCAAAAATTTCAGATTGAACACTTGAATTCACATTTTCATTAATTAAAAATATTTTTCAATATATTTGTGTGTCCACAATCTTATTAATAATTTTTAACAACTTTATCTCATTTGAAAGGAAAAGTAATTATTATATTACCAAACACAAAAAGATAACTCCATTATTCATATTTGATTACATTTCCAAATAATGTCAATGGGCTAGATCACAACTGTTTTATTAGAAGCAATTCCCACCAATGTTGATAAATACTCCATACTCAATCATCTTTTAAATATCAATGCCAATTTTATCAATTCTTCTTGTTTTTTTTTTTTTTTTTTTTAAAAAAAACTGCATATACATATTGCCGATGATAGGAAAAGCAGAAGATAACTAGTGTTTGGATAAAAGGGAATCTGCATAACCTTTTACAACATCTAAGCGTATGGCCTAAGACCTAAGTCATGTGAATCAATGGTATCAAGTAAGGACATGGGACTGAACTGTAATTTGTGATCCTAACTGTATGTGTGTGCAGTGTGCTTATCATTGTTATTCTTGTCACTGTGAAATGTACAAGTCTTATGTACGGAAAAAAATCGAAATCCAGTGTCATTTCATGTATGCTTCTTCTTCTTCCCTGCAAGAATTGGTTGAATCTGCAGCCTCCTGCTGAAAGCCTCGTTGAAGAGGAACCGAGTCTGGAAAGCCGAAATGATAGGAAGCCATGCAAGGGCTGCAATGGGTGCAAAAAGAACTACGCCCATCCCATAATCGTATGAGCGCGCAAAGACCTTGGTGAAATGCCACAATGCAGTTCCCTCAATCTTTGGTCTTGCAGCTTGTCCAACCTAGATAAAATTGATACCTGAATTAAAAACGAGGAGAATGAAACGTTGGCTTCTTTGATGATGAATGAATGGAGTTTATTATTTACCAGGATCAATCCCCAACCAGTAGGCAGAAATGCAAGACAGCAGACAACCAAGTCTCTAAAGGACAGATGACAAATGATTGACAGAGTTATTATGGTGGCCAGAATACCAAGAAACAGAAATGCTTTAAACAGCCGGAATGCCAGTTGATATTCGGCACTAAAGTGTCTTCTCGCCAAATTCACCACCTGCATAGTATGTTTATGTTACTACAAACTGAAGCAAGAAAATAGGAAATAAAGAAGATTTATGCAATGTTTCACAATCTAAATTTTCTTCTTTTGTTTTCCTAATGAGACAATTGAGGGATAAGGAAAGAACATAATCCATTTGACAGATTCTCGAGTCATAAGGGACTGTAAGGTTCCCAAACAGCTGAAGCGGTGCTGTGTTTATGCCATTATCTAAACCTTATGAACATAATAATGAACTAAGCCAATTAGTTTCTGCAGGTATCAATAAATGAGTTACAACCAGGGAACTGCGAATAATAGATTAAGAAAACAGGTATATTGCTCCTAATGAAGTATCAAATAACAGGCTGGTGGGCTTTTGCTGATATGAATATTGGAGATCTGAGTGAAGCAGTAAGACATGTTTATCCAGGTTGGGAAAGCAACAAACTGCATGCTTTTGAAGTAGTATTGAATTGGAGATTTGGGTTACCTTGATGAGAAGAAAAATTACGACAATGACCACCCATGAGAGGACGTATACAATGAAGTTTTTGTTCTGTCCAGATATATCCAGGTGGTAGACCAACCCGTACTGGTACAGGAAAAATCTCAGAGAAAGTAACAATTCTATCAACCGAGAACCCAGCCCTGCATTGCGAAGATGGTCTTGTTCATCAAGCCACCAAGAATGCCAACTCTTATCTTGTTGAATTCCAATTCCACCCTGCTGCACGATCCATTTATTCCAATCTTTCCAGTCACCCACAATTCTTTCCCAGTTGAATCCAGAGGGATTAAACAGAAAAGGGGCAAACAACCAAGTCATTGACATAAACCAGATTGCATATGTTATCAACACATATGCCACGTTGCTTTCATAGGATCTCATAAAGAGATCATAGACAATCAATAGAAGAACTAGTTCAAATCCTTTTACGAAGTGGCTTCTAGAGTATAATCTATAATTTTCTGAGAAGCTTGCATGAAATACTACCACCTTACGGCCAGTTGGTCTGTACTTGGCCCCTCCATGAAGGATTGTTCGACCATAATAGTGAGCCTTTGTTCCAAATGAAAAAGTAAAGAAAACGGAAGCCAGCTGCAATTGCATGAGAACAAAATCTTTAAGAGCATTAAGAAAACCTCTCTCAAGTCCAATCTCTATCACCATGGGTAAGCCCGTTAAGAGACCAAGCTGGATAAATGACTGAGAAGCCAGGGCAGTTTCTAAAGATTTTATGTTATGTATTCTTGCCTCAACAAGTAATGCCCTCTGCAGACCACTAAGAACAAGGTATAGTTGCCCGTAGAGGAACACATAGATTCCAATTACTGAGATCTGCAAAGTGTTGAGAGCCATTGGAGTTTTAACTAGCAATCCACTTTAATAATTTAGGGCATTTGCACTCTGGAAAATAAGACTTAAAATCCAAACAAACTTACCAAGCTGTTGAAGTAAAATCCTATAGTCGTGAAATAACAAGAGAGCATTCGGAAGAAGTCGAACCGCCGCCCAAGCCTGTATATGTCACGGCTTAAAGTTTGTTCACTGTTTCCATTTGCCACTTTAGCCTCAAACTTTGAAATTTGGTTGAGGCCTACATCACGGCCTTTTCCAACTTGCATATACTCATGATACGTAATAATCCCACGTCGAAGTGTAGTGTTGAAACCTACATTGAAGAAGATTGTATCATGGATGCTAAAACAGTTGCATGTGAATATGTTAATGAAAATAATCACACTTTATACCTGCAAAAACATCCTCACTCAAGTTTATGGTCTTTGATGCTTTGCTAATCCCACCCCTAGTTAAGTGAAAGATTCTATCGAACAAATCAGGATGACCGTAATGGAACCTTACCCTGCAGTAAACAAGTCCCTATCAGACGGTAACAAAACAATACTATAGGAAGATTCAAGCTACTAATTGATTTGGAAGCACTGATAAAAATTTCATATCATGCTATGTTACATTACAAGTAATTTCGCATCACTTTTTCTTTCTTTGTTTTCTTTCTTTGTTAACACATATCATGAAAATCTTTACCTGAGTGGATTTGCTAGAAGTCTTTGACCGATGGTGACAAAGCTGGTCTCTTGATAGGACATAAACCATGCTAAAGAAGACACACTGCAGTTGTGGATAGGTTGCCATGGGTTTCAGAATGTAATAGAAATGAAAGCATCATCGGTCATTTTCAAAGACAGGAGTTGCTGTAGCTAACCTTCCAGTAAATATGTTCTCTCTCATGCCAATAATTGTGGGCGAATTACGCCCTCGATTGCGAGTGAATTCTTGCAGCAAATTTCTCATTTTGAAAGCTTCCTCCATGTAATTATCCTGTACACAGATCAAAATAACGCTATAATAAGCACCCCAAAAACATATTCATCTGCTTATTAAAAACTGATCTTTACCTGGTTCATGTCTATTGCTTGGAGAGCTTCTCCACGAGTGAAAATTATTGAGTGATTTTGATTCTCAGGTTTCCCCTCTCCAATGTTGGGTGGACCCGGGAGTTTTATACGATATATCTCCTACAGAAGACAAGGTGGGAAAATATTAATCATGTTTTTCAAGAAATAATACATGGCCTCAGTTGCAAGTGCAACTTTCATCAGCTTGGGGGAATAAATTTTAAGAATTCCGCAATGAAGTTTCTTTTTGTACCTGGTCGAGGTCATTTACAGCCTTAACTAATACAGAAGAATATACTTTCTGATCTCCCACAATCTCTTCTTTCTCTTCCACATAAGCAACTCGAAGTGAAGGGTACCTAAAAAGCAACATTGAATGCATAAATTTAATGCACTAACATCATTTTACTCAACCAAGGTTTTACGCATTAGGTAAACCAATTATTGTTTCTTAAGTAGAAAAGAGTTTCAATCACAATTTTGAATCACTACATGAAAACACTGCCATTTTGAAGATGTACCTTATCATCAAGTCCAGTATGTCCTGAGCCTGTGGGTTTCCAGAAGATTTATGTGCTCCATACATTTGACACGAAATTACATGTGTGAATTTCATGTCCGCCAGTGCATCAAGTTGAGCTGACAATGTATCATTCCCCCTCTCTATTGCATCATAACCTTGAAGAATATCTGCCAAGAAATTACCCAATTTGAAAGTATATGAAATATGAGAGATTAGTTTAACAGAAGAGGATCAAATCAACAAATAAAGCTCATTTCACTCATGAAAGTAATACTAGAAAATGCAGCAAAACGTACCATCATCTTCAGCCATATCTAGAAATGCTTGCAGCTTTAAAGCTTTCCTGTAGTACATCATTCCACGCACTGTATTGATGTAAATGGGAAAATGAAATGGTATTCTTTGTTATCATAACAAAGGTATCCAAGGAAAAGAAAATGATTTTTCTCTGAATATATGGGCATCACAAACCTGTCCTGCTTAGAGTTTGCCCTCGAAATGAAGCCCAATTCCGTAGGTCCTCAAGGATTTCATCGTTTGGTGTACTTAGCTTTTCACTTCCAATGCGTTCCACAAAATTGTCCCACTCATCTGAGAGACAGTAAGAACATGCAATTAGCTAAAACTTTGTTCCGTTTAACATAATTTAATCCCCATTTAAGCCCCATCCTTGTCAGAAGATAAGAGAACATATAACAGGCTTGCTCAAGGAAACAAACGCATGGCAACCTATTAACCAATAGAGAGCAACCTGGGAAAATCTTCTGCATATAGAAGAGAATCGAAACCCCTTCCTTGCTAAAATGAAGTTCCTTGGATGAATATTTGACATCTTCCATGTAGTGCGGAGTCAAAACACTGAAACAGAGAGAACCTTTAAGAGTTAGAAAGATATGCAGACTTCCCAACACTTCAAATACCTACATATTCGGCCTATCACAACTACAATTCTCTGTTTCTTGTCGATTGTTTTAGCACCGCAAAATTTCTTAAGAAATTGTGGTGATTTCTTGCAAATAAACTTTGCCCTTTCCATCTGACCTGAAAGACAACATGTTGCGCACTTTTGGAGCACTCGGCATATTCATAAACAATGAAGTTGAAAAAAACGAAATCCGCTTTTGAGCTTCCAAGTTTGAGGGTATGTCCATCGCTGTATCTTTGACAGTAAGCAGCAAATGAAAACGCTTGATCTACAATATAAAAAATCTGCATGAGATCTCTGTTGGTGAGTGTTAAAAGTATCTGCACTTTATAATAAGAGACCTAAGGTAAATTGTAGTTGAGCACCTTCTCCATCAAAGGGCCACTCTCAGGCAATGGAAAATGGATTGAATGTACTGATCCAAACAACTCGGGTTCCACACCTGAAAAGAATTCGTAGTCATCTTCCTCTTCTTCTGGATGACCATAAAGGGATTCCAATGTCCTGTGGTTGTTCATTCAGTTACAAGTAAGATTACAACACATACTAGGTAGAAAAAACTTCTATTGAAATTTACCTGCAACCCTTGCGCATCATCTCATTGGTTACGAGTTCAAATATATCTTGCAGAACTTTCACAACATTGCAGTGCTGATCTTCATTTCCATGAAGCTAAATGAAAAAATCGTATCAGATGGATAAGCGGACAGGTTTCAGGATTAAAAAAAAAAAGTACAGAGAAAAACACTGAACATCCGGTTTACCAATAGATCAGCTAATTCAACACATTTAGTGTGTAAAACTGGTAATTCACTCATGTTTAAATCCTCAAGAAGTGTTGACCCTCGAATGCTCTCGTCAATTTCATCGAGTATGCCCGATATAATTCTGAATCATAAAGTGAGCAAATGTAAATTAATTTGACTCAATCATTACTGGCACTCACAGTCATTAAGCTTGAGCGATAAATACCGAGTATTACATCAAAATACTGCATACTCTACCTTCTCTCCAGGTCACCAACTACAAGAATGTCAAGAATGTACTTCAATGAACTGTAACATTCCATTACAACCAAGTACATGTACTCATCTCTCTTAATCTTCCTCAAAATGTCGACATCCTTTCCTTGAAAGTCTTTTGCAATACTTAATGCAGTTGACAACTGTATAAAATGATAATGGATTAGAGTTTTCATACAGGAATTAGATTAACATAGATTAGAATGATGTAGAACATACCTTATTTGCTAGAAGGAAAACAGGCCAACGAACTTGGCCTGAAAAAAGTTCTGATGACAAAGGCATTTTCATCAAATTCATTTCCCTGAGTTTTGGAACATAGGATAGTTAGTGTTGAGTGATGTCATGCACATAACAGAAGAATGTAAAACAAATGCAACCTGTCGCTTATGAGGTCCTCTTCGCGAAAGCTACTAATTATTTGGTTCCACATCACAACAAACTTCACAACATTATTCTTGTCCTTTTCTGAATCCTGAAAGTTCAGTTTGATAAATATTTTGAAATTAATTAGGAACTTTTAAAACTGCTGCCAACATAAATGTTAAGATGCAGAAATTTACAGATCTTTGAACCAAAAGAAGAAAAAATATATATATAAAAAGAGAAAGAAATATACAGACCTTTTGAAGTCCCTGACAGAGCAACCACTTGCTGACTCCTTCCTTGCCATCTTTCAGCTTATGTGGGATAAGGTAGGCTCTGAATGCATCAGGCAAAGTGTGAAATCTACTCCTCAGCATTCCCAGTGTCCTAATCTGTGAAACATATGAGTAAGATTGTCTTCACAATAAATTCAGCTACCAAGGGAGATTTCCTACCTCGCCGAGATGATGAAGAATTCCAAAAACCCCACCAAAGATTGAGCAGTAGACGGAATACCATATTTGTGCATCCATGAAATAGACCTGAAATAAGCTATACTGATGATTATGCATACACCAAACCTTGAAAACTTGAAAAAGAAAATTGAACCAATAAATATAACTTAAAATCTATAAGGTCTGATTTCAAAATTTTGAAAGAAATGTTTGTAGAGCACGAAATGAGCAAATATGTACGTATATGTATTGTAAGGAGCATGTATTATCTTACAAGTATGATAGGAGCCCAAATAGCAGCAATCGCCCCACCATTGCTCTTAACTGATGAACGCACTTTATGTTAGATAACGGTACTGAGAATGATCACTGGCTTATTAAAAGATACTCCCTCCATCCCATAATAGTCTGGTTTGTTGAACTATTTCAGTTCAGCAAAGAGAACAAGTATGGAACAGAAAAGGTCAAATGGGGGGGCAATATTTTACAGTTACCTTTGGGAAAAAGCTCATGCCAGTCGTAGTTCCTAACCCCAATCTTCATGATCTGCCTAGATGGTGCCATTAGAGGTTTAATCTGGACATTTGCAAATTTATTAGTGGCCCCCGATTTTCACTTATGTGCCAGATTGCTCTAACATGCAATTTTCTTCAAATGACATTGTTATTTCGAAAAGCATTTTCCAAACGCTAGGTCTAACAGGAAAAGAAAATAAAAGGAAAAAAGAAAAGAACAAATACACAATCCTAATCATGGCATTAAGGGAAGAATAGCCCCTGACATCAAAGCAATGAAGGAGAAAAGCACTCACCTCAAACTTGTAACTGAAGATGAATTTACTTAAAAACAGAAGCACCCAAAACATAGTGTACCTGAAACACAAGAGTCGAGCACCTCAAAGATATTATTCCGTGAAGAAGCTATTATCAGAAAATGAAGTAGATATCATGAATTACATACTTAAATTGGGATACTTGGTTTTCTTGCATTCCACGTCCAACATATAACCTAGGCTGATGGATGCAAAATTTACAGTGCATCATGAGATGGTCAGGAAAAATAGGATTGAAACAAACATAAATGAGAGCAATTTCTTGGATGGACTTATACCTGTCTCCACCAAGAAAACACCAGACACATTCGGGAATTGGAGGTTTCAATATACTTGCCAACGGCAGGCACAATAAATAGAATGGTATCAACAGCATTAGTCATCAAGTAAAATGCAACTGCAACCATATAGGAAGAATAGCACCACTCCCCAAGCCAGCTCACATTTTTTCTAGAATAACAGGTTAAATTCCCTCTATGATAAACATAATATATGGACAGGATGATAGTCCATATTGCTGGAACCAAAACCTTCAAAACATTTCTTCTGACTTTGTAGGAGTCCATTGTACATCTTGCTTTCCATGTGAAGGTGATATCAAGGATAGCTGCAGTATATGGTAGGTTTTCAGTTTCATCTTATTTAGAAAAATGAGGACAAGTTCCAATATTCTCAGTTTTCATGTCTTCAAAGCTAAAATTTTACATCACATTCAGTCGAAAAGGAGGACAAAGTCAAATAATGACGATATACATTTAAAAAATATCTGAAAATATGGCATAAGGTGTTGGCACATCAAGTAGAAAGCTCTGGTTCATAGATGCAAAAGTTTGATTCCTTCTTATAAAAGCTATTTGTATCCTCCTCATATTTAGACTTTGTGACTCCAAAAAGTTGTGCCCAGATACTACTAAGTACTAGGAGAAGAAAGAAACCTCGCATCAGTTTGAGAGCTGCTGATGTAATGAAGATGCTCATTACATCTTCAAGAATTTCTGCTTCAAATACTTGAATTGGATATTCTAGGTTATGGGATGCCATAATTATCATTGCCTGTATAGAGAGAAGAACTTCTCAGTAATACGTTGGGTTGCAAATTCGAGACAAATGGCTATCTTTGTCTTTCGCACAAACCTGAAGGCATAAGATTAGAAAACTCCACATTCTGTCGAAACTCCTGAAAATATGCCAAAACGAACGAACTTCAACAAAATTTGTCTTCCCTAGCCATTTTTGCTCCCGTGGTTTGTGAACTTCATCCGTGATAGGCTGGAAAACAACCTTAACACAATATTACATATGGAAAAATAATTCTTAAAATTTTACGCAGCGTCTTTAATGTGTGGCGTACCTCCGTTTCTTCATCATCATTAGCGTTCTTCTGGGCTTCTTTAGCCTTGGCTGATTTTTTAGGCTCATCTTTGCAATCACTAGGAAGATTTGTAAAGAAAAAATCGTGCTCTTTACGCATGGGCCAACCTAACTGAAAGCAATCTTCTGACCTGAGGAGTTTAAGCAACAAGATCCTATGATTTATCCTTCTATGTTCTGCCAACATGATTGAAAAACATAATAGAGCCCATAAATCTGACCAGAAAAACTCATTCAAGTCATCATAGTTCCTCCATGATGCATGGTCTGTTGTTCCATTTCTGTTTTTCATTGCTTCCTTCATTGATTTGGCCACAGTCAGAAATTCACTTGTTAGCGAAGTTACTTCAGGAGAAGCTCTATACTTTTAGTACCTCTTGTATGACTTTATATATTGGGGTGACAACATTGTTGAGAAAAGATTCGTATCCTCCTCCATATACTGGCATTATCCTGTCGCCTGTGGCCATGTCTATAGCACCAACTAACATGCTGTGTAATTCATACGCCATCTGAAAGAGTAGGAAAATTAAGAGGATTGCCTAACTTATAATGTGTGAAAGTAAAACAATGTAGGCTACCAACCATGAAGTTATGGCTGAAAGAAAAGGCTCTTAACCTACATGATGAAATATGTAACAGAGACACTCTGGCAATAATCTTAAATTTGCAGCTTCCCCCCATATTAAAAGATAAAGTCCTATATAGAGAAGCTTATACTGTTGCGCCTCTTCCTTAAGATAGGGCAATCTGCAGTTGTCACAATAACAACAGTGAAGAAACCAGGAAACAGTTTAGAAAACATTACTTGTAATAAGTAAACACAATGGGCCAGATACGAAAGCCATAGTCCTAAACTATTTTAATGACGGGGAGCCCAGAAGAAAATGAAAGCTTTCGCATCTGATAGAGACGAAATTTCAAAAGCATTCTCTATCCGGAGAGGCTATGCCATACTTGGTGAAGAATGTAGGACAATAAGAACGTAGAATCTTATTCTTTTTCTGTTTCTTTCTTTAAACCCAAAAGCAATAAAAATGTAGAATCTTACTGAATATTGCTTTTTCGGCCCAGAAATTTGCACCAATCTGTATAATTTTTGAAAAACTTCTTCATCAATGGATCCACAGCCCCATCACCTAGCTAATATCATAAACATCATCAACAAAAAATGTAACAAAAGCAATCAACTTAAAATAGAGAGGGATGTTACAGTAGTAAGATCACCTTCGACCCTGAACCATGCTTGGTGGATTGACGTATGTGCATATTAGCTAGGAGAAGGATTAAATGCTCTCTTTGATTTGCAACATTTCCTTTCTGAATGAGACGTAGAATATTGACAGCAAATAATTTTCTTCAATCAGAGATTAAGGAGCTGGAAGCGGAAATCTCTAAATGACAAACCAAAATGATACGAATTTGGTTCCAATAATGAGTAGAAGAAAAAATGACCTGAAATCCGAAGCAAAACTGGAGCCAATCCAACAAGTCCATGCAAACTACCCGTTTCTTGAAGTCTTCAACAAATGGCAAGCCACGAACATTGCGACAAGCGGCGACTGCAACTTTGATCTGAAAGTTAAGGTTGAAAAAGTCATGGGGTATTTACATCAATTGTATATACAACAAACAATTGCTGAAATTACTTAACATGAAAATGAAGAAAGATTGCTACATTAAAACATAGTTTCTAGTGGAGCCGCAACGAAGATCTTGATAATAATTTTAAAGAAACTACTCCACTTGTCTTTTGGTTTTAACTATATAAAGCTAGTAACTCAGTTAGTACCCATCATCAGACCTCAGGGAGTTGCATTATGGCTTGGTTGACCCCTCCCTGGTCAAGTGGAAGGATATTATACGGAACATAGAGCTCAGATTTTGCTGCAATGTTCTCATTCTCAGCAAGGGCCTACAAAGTCAAGAAAGCCACATAGAGAATCTCAATTGGAGTAGCATAGCCTGGAAAAAAATTAAGAAGATGAAGAATTTGAATGAGAACAGAGCAAAGAAACCTGCGAACCCGCGGCATTAGTGACTGTGTGTAGTACTTCAAACAGAACTGAAGCAATAGCGCGTGCTTTGATCATTTTTTCCCTGAAAGGATGTTACACTTTACTCATTGACACAATACAGAAGGTTTTGTGAACTTCAGTCAACTAAAAAGCAAATAACACAACACCTAATTCAGTATGATCATCACCTGTTCTGCATGTTACTATCTCCACTATGTTTGATAATATAGTCCTTGTACTCACGGTAAACACGTCTAAGTTCACGCAGGTCACTCTTTTCCTTCCTCTTCCTAATTGTAACTTCTTCATCCTGTTAGAGGACACAAAAGAAGACAGATACTAAATTTCCATTATCTGGAGCTTAACAGACCAAAATCCCGAGAAAGCAGAGAGATCAGAAAAGCTAATTCATACAGAAGAGAAGCAACCAATTTAGTTGCGTCTAGCTGTGGAGTAAATTTTGTTGCATCCAAATGAATCTATGAGTGCCAATTCACCATAAGCCACAAATCAATTAAGTCATACTCCGGAAAGTTCTATGCAATACTTGCTTGGCTACTATTTAAAAACAACAAGAGAAACATTTTCAAATTTAAGGAACAGTAAAGATGTCATCAAAATGAGGGACCACGAATACTCAATACAGAAGTGTTGAAGAACAGTTGCTTTTGGTGTGGTGCTTTTGCAGTTTCATGAGATCATTGGAGTAAGCTAACGCAGCTGAATCAGCCCCAAATGGAAACAAACATTTTGTTGACAGAAGCACATAATACCTGCTCAAGACGCTGAAGAAGAGAAGTTTTAAATTGTCGTACTCCACGACCACTCGAATTTCTATCCAGGTTGTGTGCCACTTCAAACGCATGAAAGCGGCCTTCAAAAAATATTCAATAATCCATATGTCAATGTCATCCAAGCAAATACACTAATATGCATACATAATGTAAGACTTCCACTGCCTAGCTCCTAAAACTGAGCATTCTTTGTTACCATATCCGAATCCCTTAGGTTTCGACCAATCTATTTAAACTTTTCAGTTTCCACCATCTAGCCTTACTATCTGGGTGTGGTATTGAATGAAATTCAATAAAAAGAAAATTAAGAAAACTGAAGGCAGTCCAATATCGCAAGAAATTTCTGTCTTTGACATGTCAATTAATTGACGTCTGTCCTTGCCACATTTCATAAAAGAATGAGATATTCTAAACCAAGTATGAAAGAGGACTAGCTTCTTTTCCTTAGTTACTCTAATTGAATCTTCCCAAGAAAGCAATCCACAGAGAGATTTCAATAATCGTGAAGAAAAACAATCAAGAACCGCAGCATGTTAAACACTAAATCCTTCCTTCCAAAAGCAAAATGTCCAATCTTTTTAAAAGAAATCAGTAAAGGGCTTACAAAGATAAGCCACACGAGGCTCTTCAAGCTCAATCTGGTTAGCAACACGTAGAAATCTCTGAATTTCCGAAACCAAAGTGACTGGCAACTTCTCACTATCAAATGGCTCAGGGACAGGATCATGGCCCGAAGTAATGAATCTTGTAAAGGGTCTAGTATCACTAGTGACATATGACCTCCTGTTAGCTGAATTACTCGTACTCGCATACCCGGGCTCTGCAGGAACAATCTCTGCCATTTGTTAGGGAAACCAAACAGAGGAAGGGAATAGCAGAGAGAGAGGAACGATGATGGCAAATGCATGAGCAATATGGAAGTATAAAAATGGGATCTTTGGGTGTATATACATGATGCAGTGGTTGTTAGCAATGTGATTTAGCTTTTGGGATGCTTTATTGGTGGGGTGTTCTTTGATCTTTTTCCACTTTTGCTTTTTGATGGAAATTCAGGTTTGTGTAAAATTGTGTGTGTGTGTGTGTGTGTGTGCGCATCAAAGACTCAAGACTCTGGAAATGAGCACCTTTTTGAATGTCAGTGTGATTGGCGGGTATTTTAATGTTATAAAAGGAAAAGTGGAGAGCCAATGAGTAGGAAAAAGCATTGGGAACTAGAGACCAAAGTCCATTGTTCACCTGGCTAAGGAATTACTACAAGCAACTGATAAGCATGGTAAAAAAGCACTAAAGTCTGAGCAAAACCCCATTACCCATATTCCCATCAAGATTAAGGAAAATTTGATGACTAGAAATACAATGCTGTGGTTTTAGATTAAAATATAGTTACACACAGTCACACACTACAAGCCATGCATGCAAAAGTTTTAACTGGTAATAAGGAACTAAAGAACATAAAGCTACTACCTTTTAGTTAAGGCAGGGCTGTAAAGAGTAAAAGACTCCCTCCACTACCATTTGTCTAATATAATAGGATTTAGGAGGACTCGTGTTCGTGTGGTGCACTGATTGTCTTCTATCATCAGATTATAAAAGTTGAAAAAGATGAACAAAGCAGACTTAATTTTTAATTTTTTTTTATGAGAGTTAGGCTTAAAATAGTAAAATCCCGTTGGTGTTTTGTAACTCTCTTTAATCTTTTTATTTTTACGTAGAAAAGTTGATGGTGACTTTGGGGGAAATAGAATGGAATTTTCCGAAGACTCTGCCATGCCAAGAAGAACAATTTCTTACAGCTTAAGAGTCTAATAAGAGAGGCATACAAGTCCTGAAAAAAGGAGCATTTTGTGTTGGGATTCTAAAGTTGTTACTCCCATTAATTAATTGAATTTGACTATAGAGGATGACCAAAACATGAAATTTTATTAGCTAACTGCATGTGGCACAAAATTAGTGAAACTTGATGCAATTAACTTTCTCACTAATTGATAAAAGTTAAAAGAATTACTAATTGATAAAAGTTAAAAGAGGGTACGTAATCTAACATATAATAGGATGAATTGTAATGAAACAGGTATTCATTAATTCAGCAAGTACCCTTTCCAAAAACAAAAAAAAAAAAAAACACACACACACACACACACGCTTTCGTTTGTTGCATGGAGCCAACTATTTATAAAGTGTTCTGTTCTTTTGAAAACTTACATTAGTTTCGCCCTTTAATTTGTACCGTACTTATCTAGTAGCTGTAGTTCATGTTGTTAAAATAAATATTTACCAAACAAAGAGAGTATTTCTTTACAGGCTACATTCACCAGAAATTATTCCCTGCCTTTTCATAATAATCGTCCATTAAATTGTAGTAAATTTAAATTGCACTGTTTTTTGTCCAATTTATAATTTTCTTTTGCGGGACAGACCGGAAGAGAAAGTATTAGGGATATCAACTATTCTTGAAGTAACTTTAGAAAGTTATGACAATATATTATGGATAATCATTGGTACAAAAGAAAAGTTTACAATAAAAAAAATAACAAGGAATGATTATAATTATTCACTTTTTATACTTTATATTTAGGGTTAAGAATTTAAGATTACAGAATAGTTTCTATGACTAACACATTATTTCTTGTAATTTTTTCTTATAATTTTTTCCCGTACGTATCAGTACTCATGATTATTCTTGAGATGAAAAATCTTGATTGTTTTAGAAGAAAGACTTGAACGTAACATTTCTTTTTTCAATTTCTTTAACTAAAACACCAATATTTCAGCATACTGAATTGATCCAGAAAGGCTGAACGTGAAATCAGACTCATCATTAGTACTTGGCAAACTTAAGAAAAGTGACTAATTCGGTCAGCATTTCTCTTAATTTACAAACATCTCCTGAATCTTTTGATAAGTAATGTTGTGTAAATGGGCTTAAACTATCCAGTGAAAAGTATACAGGTTCAACCTTGATAATTTTTTTTTCCAACCTTGATCATTCAGAATCGATCCGATACCTAAACCCAAATTCTGGCCAGTGGAAATACTAATTTATTCTAAGAATGAATTGGACTACTTAAATAAAAGGCCCATTTTCAGAGGAGTAATAGAAACTTACACTTGGGCCACTCGATGCACCGAGGACCTCTTTCTTTCGGACGAGTAAACTGGCCTGGTGTACTCATTATGTATTTTGCCTTTATTAGTGTCATCATGAATTAAGAAAATGATAATCTATACTCCATCAGGGTTTTTATTATAAAGTATTTTGATTTGTCTTAAATTTTATTTATTACTCCCTCTGGTATTTAATATAAGATATTTTGATTTGTCTTAAGTTTCACCTAATATGTATTTTTAATCAAAGAAAAAATTTTAAAAATATATTTTTACATTCGTTGTAATTCTCTTGATTGTTATAAAATATTTTTAATGTTTTCTGTTAATTAAAAATACGTATTAGGTGGAACTTAGGAGAAATTAAAAAACTTTATATTAAGGATCGGAGGGGGTATGTTATTCTAATTGAAAATAAAATCTTAAAATTTACTTTTTCATTTATTGTGTTTTTTTCAATTATTACAAATTTTAAAGTTTTATTTCAATTGAAAAAATATAATAGATATAACTTAGGATAAATCAAAATTTTTATAATAAGGACTGAGGGAGTAGTTTGTTTGAAACAATGATTGATGTGTTATATTTTCATTTTTAGTTCAAGTCGTGAAAATAATGATCTTTTTCAAATTTTCCAATCGGAAAATTACTAATCGGTCCTAGTGCCAAAATGACTATATGATTTTACGATCTCTATTATTATTGTATTATATATTAATTAATAATGGAGGTCCAAATAGAGATTAGTTGGGATAGTGGATGATCTCACATGAATTTTAGGTACATTCACCATTATTTGTTGGTGGCACACGTGCACCAAATCTAGTTACTGGCGGTGGTCAAACTCCAACCTGATCAAACTTAATCACTGCATATAAGATGGCGATAAAACTTAAAAAGGAACTTTAGGCCCTATATATGATAAGATTCAATTTTCGGTCTAAAAACTAAACTATAAGTTCTGAAATAATTAGATTTATTTATCTTGTTTTATAAAAGTCAAAATATAAAGTCTTAAAAGTCGTTTAAAATCTGAATATTGAAATCTAAAATCGACGAGATTTTGACTTATAATTCTAACTACAAAAATAAATCATATGTATGAAATTACAATAGTAAAATTGATAATACAATATAAATGCTTTACATATATTCAATCATTTTAACTATTGGAGTTTACTTAGTGTTTAATTTGTCATTTAAAGGAAACGTCACAGAAAATGTAACACGAAAAGTGATATCCATATTAGGGGTTGATTGATGCATCATTGCTATAATGGCACGGGGAGTGGAGTGGACCACTTTTTATACGTTTGATTTCCTAATCCAATCTTATCAAGCATCTTAAGATTAACATAATCAAACTTCCTGGCAAAGTGTTTCCGTGTCCAATCTTTGCATATCGTAGAGAAGTTCCACTAACTTAACTATATGGTAATTAAACAACTCAACATTGAACATGCATGATAGCCTAACATGCTACGTATCTATCAACATCTTGGAATGTGTTTAAGGTTTGATATACAACAATCCCACATCGAAAACATTTTAAAAGAGACAATTTGGAATTGCGATTCATTTGCGCACACAATATATATTAATTTAGATCGTGTATTGAATATTATTGGCATATGATGCTCTCTATGCAACCAAAACTTTATTGATCAACATCAAAATTGATCTCGAAAGATATTGTCCTTGGTGTCCTTGTGGTATCTTTTGGCTCCAAAAAGAAGACCTTATTTGATGGTAGACAAAGACATACAACTAATTTTTCTTCACCATCCATGGTGGGTTGTCCCTCTTTACTTAATTTTGTTTCCAACATCACATGATTGGTGGGTTTAGGTCATTTGTCATTAGCCTATTTGTGACTTTGTGACAAAATTTGGGACCATTTCTCATGTTTGTTCAGCCGGTCCATCTAATTTGATGCTGCAATTTCGTACTAATGTATCCCTTTCTGTTGATATATATTACATCGTACTAATAATGTATGAATGTGGAAAAAAAATGATAGAAATACGTAAAAAAAACTCTAGGGTTATCTCCATTTTATTCTGTAAGAGATAAATTACTACCATCAAAGATACTTTTGTATTTGCACATCTAATAAAAGTGTTCTGATTTCATTTTACTGATAAAATTTGTCTTGTTTTGTTCGCAAATATTATACGCAACCTATATGATGTGTGAAATCCAATTTTGATAAAGAAACTATTCATGAAACGATCAGAATATTATTAATGATTTATTCATTCGGTCCAATCATATTTATAAGGAGCAACTTTTAACTAAGGTAACTAACATTTAAAGTTTCAACTCATAATTAGTTTGATATTGTACCTTAAAAATAGAACCCGAAGAAATATTTTTCATAAACATCCGGCATGTTAATTATCACACGGATGATTCGAACATCACCTTTTTAGTAGTATATAGTTGTTGCTTCGTGGAACTTTATTGATTAGGAAGTTTATGACAATAATCTAACCATGTGGGCTTGTGCTGGACAACCAGTGGCCATCTTTTCTTATAAGGTGGTTATGGATCATGACCACTGATTTTTTCTATATCAATAATTTTCCTTAGAATTTTTTTTTATTTTTATAAAAAAAATAGAAAAATTTGGAAGTTCCCTATATAAAGAGCTTGTTTTTGCTCCAAAAGCCATTACCTTCCACCATGTGTTCTCTTCTTTCAACTTTGGAAATTATTGTTGTATAATTTGATTTCTTATACAATTATATTCAAAGTATGGAATGCATCAACAGCCAAAATGAGTTTGGCAATAACTTTGAGCTCTCCCAAATAGATGGAGCCCTCCTAATGTCATTTCTTGAGGATTCACAAGTTGAAGAAGAGGATGATCACTTCCTTGATAATGAGAAATTATCAAGTGTTATGAGATCCCTCGAAGCTGAGATTAATCAATATATGGTGGACAAAAACTCAACCACCAATTGGATGAATAATGATCATCCATTGGATCATCATCATGGAGAGGTGGAGGGCTACGATGCTGAGATTTCAGAATCACGATATAATGATCATCATGAGTTGGATTGCAATTGGATGAACATGGAGATGGAAGTTAATAGTGATTGGTGCATGGATCAATGTGTAGATGAGATGGATAGTACTAGAAATTCAACATTAAGATTTGGGAATGATGATCAATTAGATCATTATTATTTTGAACACTTCAATAGTAGTGTTTCATTTGAGGATCATGAACTCGTTCCTCATGATAGTCTCTGGCAAATTAATTGATTAAGATATGACTGCATTTCAGTGTACAGTAATTAGTTCCATGATTGTAGAGAAAAGTCAGATCATCCATGAATTATTCATCAGTCTTGATCATTGACGTTCAAACTGTATGATTAACCCATTCGTATACGTACATTTGATCGTATTTTGGTCTCTTTATTACTCCAATATTAATATGGTTGTACTTGACTATTCATTGATATTATCTATTTGGTCGTTTTTGTTAGAACTGAAAATAAGGTAGGCAGGCAGAGAAAGTTCTAAAAACAATTCAACCATAAAAAAATGACTTTAAGTTTTAACTATTACATAAAAACCTATTTACATCAATTTAAATACTTTGAAAGTTCATTTAATTTTTATTTTCCGGTTAGCCTGATTAATATAATAATACTAAAGTGACCAATGACCAAAAATACTTAAAGATACAAAGAAATTATATTATTAAATTTAAAATTTTGACTAATACAAAATATGGGAGTAATTTAATTAAAGTACAAGTTGGGGGGGGGGGAATCGGCTAATATGAAAGTGAAAAAAAAATCACATAAAAAAATTAACATTATACAAAAAAATAATAAAAAATCTCCAATCAACAATTAAGAATTACTAACCTTTATTTTTAAAGTCAACATAATCATATTTTTTTATCATTTAATACATTACTTTTTCCGTATTGATACTAAAATATTATCATCATTAAAAGATTTAATTTATGTGTTGAAAAAGCAAGATGATTTTATTTCAAGAGTTAGAGCCATGTTTGTGTTGTTTAATTATTATGCCCCTAATACAAATTATGAAGAGTACTGTCCTCTTTATTAATTATTTTCTCTCAGTTGCCCCTAATTCAAATTTTTCCAAAAAAAAAAAAGAATTTAGTTGCGTTTAGAAGGTCCATTAAAACAAACAGCAAACAATTGCTGTCTTAAATGTGAAAAATGAAGCAAGATGGCTCCATTAAAACACATACTGTTAGTTTCTAGTGGCGCAGCAAAGCGGGATCTTTGATAATAATTCTAAGAAACTACTCCCTCCATTTCAAAATGTAGGTTGTTTTAAATTTGGAGAAATATTTCAAAAGTATGTCGCTTTATGATTTCAAGGCAAATTATGACAAACTTTCCAACTTTGCCCTCAATAAATAATAATAACCACTTTTCATCTAATATTAGTTATAATTCTAAAACAATTAATGATGGGTAAAATAGAAATTTAACACACAAATTAATTATTAAATGATTGTCTCCTTAATTTACACGTAGAGTCTAAAGTGACCTACATTTTGAAATGGAGGGAGTACTCTTATTTCTCAGTTTAACTAAAAAGACCTAGCTAGTAACTCATTTAGTACTGTTTGTGTTAAAAAAAAATGTCAACCGGAAACATGAAAAAAAAAAGGGGGACAAAATTTGTTAACAGCATGAGGACCTGTAATTTATTAATTTCAAAAAGAAAGTGGATAAAGAAAATTAAATGAAGTAGGGTGAAGGTTCCAAAGAAATCTAAATCATCGCAAGATATTCGTTTATTGTAGTATACGATTGACATTAATACAAGTATATACATTCGAACAAACTAGCATCATGGTTAGGGTTTTGTTGATTGCAACAATGTTAAAGTCAGTTACCCCCAGTAGTTATTATGCAACAATGTTCTCAATATCTCAGCAAGGGCCTACAAAGTCCAGAAACGTTTCCCATAAGTGAATCTCTCAATTAATTAAGAAGAAGAAATTGAATGAAAGCAGAGGTAGAGAAATTAACCTGTGAACCGTCGCCCGCAGTGGCTACGTTTAGTATTTCAAATAGTACCGAAGTTAAAGTGCGTGCTTTAATCATTTCTTCCCTGCAGAAAAGGATGTTATGTAGTACTCCACTTTACTCATTGACAAAACCCAGAATGGTTTTTGCAAACTTCAGCCAACAACTATAAAAATCAATATTGACACACTATTAGGCCTTAATTCGGAGCATGATCCAAAATAAATCACCTGTTTTGCATGTGAATATCTCCATCATGTTTGATGATATAGTCCATGTAGCCACGGTAAACACGTTTAAAAACCAATTCAGAACCGTCTCATGTACATAAAACCCTAAACTCTTCCTTTGGGAAAAGCAAAAAATGCCCAATGTTTTGAACAGAAATGATGAAAGGGCTCACAAATATAAGCCACATCAAGCTAAATCTGATTAGCAGCACGAAGAAATCTTTGAACTTCCGAAACCAAAGTGACTGGCAACTTCTCACCATCGTACGGATTAGGGACGACAGGATCACTGGTGACGTATGCGGGCTCTGCAGGAACAATCTCTGCCATTGTTATGAAAACCAAATTAACAAAGGAATAGGAGAGACAGCAAGGGAATTAATATTGATGATGCTAAAACAGAAGCAATGTTGAAGTATAAAAATGGGGTCTTTGGGTGTACATATATAAAAGATGATCCAGTAAGCAATGTACGTAAATTAGGAAAAAGCATGCATTAGGAAAAACTGGAAAGCCAAAGTCCATTGTTCACCTTGCTAAGGAATTACTACAAGCGACTGACTGAAACCTAGTAAAATAAAAAGGCAATAAAGTCCTATCATCCCACAACCCATATCCATAGATATTAAATATGAAAGAAGTCAGAAATGGAGTTCATGATTCTATTCATAGTTGGAATCATACCTTAGACGTTTACATTCTGTAAACTACTTATAGAGTTTCTAAGGTAATCTACAACTTACCACCTATAGTTACTCTAACAACTTTATCCATACAACTGTATATTTGTTACAACAAATGATAACTATACAATCCGGAATTTGTTACATAATCAGACTCTAATACCCTCCCTCAAGTTGGTAGTTGCACCGCCTTGCAAATGCCCAACTTGGATAAGAGAAAAGACAATTGAACTGAACTGAGTGATTTTGTTAGAAGATCAGCTGCTTGTAATTTGGTGGGAACATAAGAAGGTTGAAGAACTCCTGCCTGAATCTTTTCGCGTACAAAATGGCAATCAATCACGATATGTTTTGTACGCTCATGGAAAACCGGATTGGAAGAAATGTGCAAAGCTGCTTGGCTATCACAATATAATGGGACTGGAGTAATATCAAATACCTGCAAGTCACGAAGTAAGTTTTGAAGCCAAGTAACTTCGGAACAAGCTTGTGCCATAGAGCGATATTCGGCCTCAGCCGAAGATCGAGACATCGTATTTTGTTTCTTGGTCTTCCAAGAAATGAGTGCACCACCAAAAAGCATACAGTAACTTGTTATAGAGCGGCGAGTTGTCGGACAAGTCGCCCAATCAGCATCGCAAAATCCAGTGAGCTTGAAAGTACTTCTAGCCGGATAAAAAAGTCCTTGAGAAACAGTCCCCTTGACATATTTCAGAACTTTGAAGGCCATTTGTAAGTGAGGGACTCTGGGACAAGCCATAAATTGACTTAGTATATGCACTGGATACGCTAAATCTGGCCGAGTGATCGTGAGGTAGATTAAACGCCCAACAAGACGTCGATATAAAGCAGGGTCACTAATCGGATCACCTTCATTGGCATTAAGACCATGATTTTGATCCATCGGAATGGAACAAGGTTTGGCAGCACTTAAACCGACATTAGTAAGGATATCTGTGGCATATTTTTGCTGATTGACAAAGAGACCTTCAGAAGTACGATGAACTTCAAGTCCAAGAAAATAGCTGAGATTACCAAGGTCTTTAATCTTGAAGGTTGTATGAAGCATGTCCTTTAATTTTTGTACAGTGGAAGGATTGCTACTTGCAATGATTACATCATCTACATACACCAAGATGGCTGTAAAATCAGTCCCTTCAGCTTTGGTGAAGAGAGAATGATTACAATGAGATTGTCGGAAATCAGCGGCTACAAGTGTGGAAGAAAATTTCAAAAACCATTGACGGGATGCTTGTTTTAATCCGTAAATGGACTTGTCAAACTTGCAAACAACATTGGGAACATTTGGTGGAGCTTTAAAACCTGGTGGTAATCGCATATACACTTCCTCATCCAAGGTACCATGCAAGAATGCATTATTCACGTCCAACTGAGCTAGCTCCCAATTTTTTTGCAGTAGCAACGGCAAGTAAAGCACGAACTGTGGTTATCTTAGCAACTGGAGCGAAGGTTTCCTGATAATCAAGAACTTCAGTTTGTGTATATCCCTTTGCAACAAGGTGTGCTTTGTAGCATTCAAGGGTACCATCAGGTTTGTACTTAAGTTTGTAGACCCATTTGCAGCCGACGGCTTTCTTGCCCGGAGGTAAAGAAGTAATGTGCCATGTATTATTGTCTTCTAATGTTGAGATTTCTTTGGACATAGCTTCTCTCCAATTGACATCTTTAACAGTAGTGGCATGAGTTTTGGGTTCCTCAAGAACAGTTGCATTGCACACAAAGGAAAAATTATTAGTATTCAAAGCAATTGGATATTTGCACGCATTGGCAGAAATGGAATTGCAAACATATGGATCTAACCAGGATGGTTTATATTTTGGACGAGTGGAATGTCTAAGAGGCTGGGAGGTGGAAGGTTGAGAAGGCACAACTGTTTCATGAAGTGAAGAAGAACTTGGACTAGAATTATGCTCAGCATGGTCAGACAATTCAAACTCCAAAGAATCACAAGGAAATGGCAAAATGCATGAACTAGTATGAGTGAGTGAAGCAAAAGGAAACATAGATTCATGGAAAACAACATCTCGACTAACAAATATTTTCCTAGTAGAGATATCATAAACTTTGTAACCTTTTTGAGTATTTGAGTAACCAACAAAAACACATTTGGTTGCTCGGGCTGCAAATTTATCCCTATTATGATGAGGTGTGATAGCAAAGCAAAGGCACCCGAATGTTTTCAGATGTGTGTAAGAAGGAGGCTGTTGATATAACAACTCATAAGGCGTTTTGCCATGTAAACCTCGTAATGATAGCCGATTGATTATATATGTGGCTGCAAGAATACACTCACCCCAAAAAATTATGGGTAAATGTGCATGAAATCGAAGGGAACGTGCCATATCTAATACATGACGGTGTTTACGTTCTACAACCCCATTCTGTTGAGGTGTGTAAGCACATGATGTTTGATGCAACACCCCTTTGCTAGAGAAAAATGATTTAAGATCTTGATTGCAAAATTCGGTTCCGTTATCGGATCTAAAATTTTTGATAGTAGAACTAAACTGATTTTGAACAAGATGGAAAAAGTTCTTAATTATCGCTGGAACCTCAGTTTTGGAAACTATAAGCTATGTCCAAGTAGAACGAGAAAAAGCATCAACTATAGTGACAAAATAACGAAAACCAAGATGAGTAGGAACTCGATAAGGCCCCCATACATCACAATGAACTAGCTCAAAAGGATGATTATAAGTAGTAGTACTAGATTCAAATGAGAGACGAGGTTGCTTAGCAAGAGGACAAATTTCACATTGTAATTTCTGAATATTTTTCAATTCT